GAAAAACCACTTTTTCGGTTTTGGGTATTTGAACAAGGAAATCATATCCACCAAGTAGAACTACATATTTACTACTGCTGTCCTAATCTTCTTGCAAGCACAAAATCTCACCACTGTTAACAGCAGTAAATTTGCACATTGTCTCTTATTACAAGATAGTCTTTCTCTCTCCTTTATCATACCTCCAGGCCGAGAGCTGGGGGAGCCAGTCCAAGGCCACCACCCCGAAGCTCAGGGAGGCAAGGGAACATTTCGCCCCTCCCCTCGCGCGGGCGTCGCAGCTGCCGCCGAGAACAGCGACGGCAGCCATAACTTTTTAAAGAGCCCCTCCCGAGAGCTGGGGGAGCCAGAATGACCTCTCGCGTGTGATACCGCTCGGACATCACACACGAGAGGTGGAATTTGCCCCTACGAGTCCAAGGCCACCACCCCGGGGTTCAGGGAGGCAAGGGAACGTTTTGCCCCGCACCTCCCCCCCTGCGGGCGTCACAGCTGCCACCAAACAGCGACAGCGGCCATAACTTTTTAAAGAGCCCCTCCCGAGAGCTGGGGGAGCCAGAATGACCTCTCGGACATCACAGCAAGAGGTGGAATTTGCCCCAAGAGTCCAAGGCCACCACCCCACGGCTCATGGAGGCAAGGGAACGTTTCGCTCCTCCCCTCCCCCCCTTCAGCGACGGCGGCCAGAACTTTTTAAAGAGCCCCTCCTGAGAGCTGGGGGAGCCAGAATGACTCAGGTGTGATGTCCGAGCGGCAACGCCGCTCAGACATCACATGCGAGAGGTGGCATTTGCCCGGTGTTGGCCCCCCCCCCACAAATTCTGGTGGAATTTGGCCCTATGAGTCCAAGGCCACCACCCCAGGGCTCAGGGAGGCAAGGGAACGTTTTGCCCCGCCAGTCCCCGCGGCCTGTGTGGGCTTCGCAGCTGCCGCTGAGAACAGCGGCAGCGGCCATAACTTTTTTAAGAGCCCCGAAGGAGAGCTGGGGGAGGGCGCAAGAGGAGGAATTTGCCCCTACGAGTCCAAGGCTACCACCCCGGGGCTCAGGGAGGTGGGGGAACGTTTTGCCCGCCCCCCACCATGTCCCAACTGATGGCTGGTGGGAGCAGGGGCGGGGCTTATGTGCCCGCCCCCTGGCTTCCTGACTGGCGGAGTGGTGCTCCAGTGCGCTCCAGCAGAAACCAAGGCCTGCGCCCACCCAACCCACTGCTGCCCAGCCTCACTGTGATTAAGGACCAGTTGTGCTCACCCAGCCTCACCTTGGTGAGGGACCAGACACGCCCTCTCAAGCTCACTGTGATGTGAGGGATGGAATGGGCACACTCAGCCTCACCTGATTCAGTGCCACATTAAGGGATGGGATGCGCCTGCCAACCCTGGTCGAGCATGAATGAGCAGAGAGTTTAATACTACTCTTCTAAGTGCAAACCTAGTATTCCAAGTATGAAACTAGTCACTGGAGCTGACTACTATCCAGAGTTTTTTATGCACTGGGTAACACAGGCTTTGCAAACAGAGCACGTGTTATGCATAAAGAACCAGACCCATAGATTTACATCCTTGTCCAGTGTGCTGTGGGCAAGTATTGCACAAGAACACAAACTGCTAAAAGGAAAGCAGTTAGGAAGAGCAGCACAGAACATGTCTTACAAACAATTATCCTTAAGGGCAGGATTAATTATATAAGAGAACCATTATGTTCTGTTTATGCAATTATGAACTATTATGGCTAATTAGTGATTATACTGAATCTGTAAAGAGGAATTTATGAAATACACAGTCAACAGTTATTATAACTTCCGTTTGCATGCCACCTGTTATTTGGAATAGTTAGGAATTTTTAATTTTTGCAAACCATACAGTGAGAAGAAAAGTTTCTGATTCCTTGCAAGATAGAAAAGAAACAGGATCTGGGATTTCTTTTTTTAAAAAAACCCAATTCTTTTTTTTTTTAAACCCAATTCGTTAAAAATTATATTAAAAAAAACAAACTTTCATCTTCCCCATCTCCAAATTTGTCTGCTATTGCTAACAAATTACTAAAATAAATTAGAGCATTATTTCCTACAAAGGACATAAATCATTCTGGTTCCTTAGATTGGCCTTTATGCAGCTTCAGATAATAAATTCTACAATAACACATATTGTAAACACCAGCAAGAAAGCATTTATATATCAACCTTCCCTGCATGGTTACCAGTTGCTTCAGGAACCTGGTACAAGTGCATTTAACTACCTCTCTGATATTCACACATGCCATCAATAGGAGCAGAAAATGCTTTAAGTGGCACATATGAATTTTTGACTTAGACTGCCTTGACATTGCAATCCTATGCAGAGTTGGTCCCACAAGCTGATTGATTTGAATGGACTTAGGTGCACCTAACTCGTTATAGGGCTGGGTTGTAAATTCTATAGGAATGCATAATTGTTCTTCTTATAAATAGTTCCCCAGATTTTGGTGGTATTGATATCTCAGTGCTCTATTACTGTTTTCTTAACACATCCCTACTATTAGTTTACAGAAAACATTTACTTATTTCTTCTATATTGTCATGCTACTGTAATGTTCACATTTTATTAATTCTCTTAAATGTAAACTATTACCTAGTTTCTGAACTACAACAGGTATGTGGGCATTGGGGTGAGGATTAAAGCCCTGCATTCTAGCAGTTACCTCTAGCTAAGAAAGTACTATTTTAAGTTCCTAATTGTCATGCCTAAACTGTTTCCCACTCACCAGGATATTACTACACTGTGATAACTTTGTTTCAGATCTATTTTACGATATCCAGCCCAATATTTTACAATTTGTTCTGATTTCATTTTAGAAGATTATATTTTGGACAATGTGGACCCTAATGTGTTTTCTGGTCCCAGTTCAATAAGAGGTAATTTCTACATGTTTTCTTGTTTAATTGATACAGATGGTGCCAAATCATAAGCATGTTTCTGCTGCGTCTACAGGGTTAGCATGCTAGAGAACTATAGTCTGGGCAAGTGTTGCACTGGTGTGCCAATGGTACATGCATAGTTGTTTTCTGACAGAATGGTTCCTCAGTGAAACAGGCTTCCTCAGGAGATGGTGGGCTCTCCTTCTTTGAAGGTTATTAAGCAGAGGCTAGGTAGCCATCTGAAGCAATGCAGATTCTGTGAATTTAGGGTGGAAGAGAGGGTGGGAAGGGAGGAACCAGTGATCAACTCTTGTGGCCTTTCTTATATCCCCAAGGTAAGGAAAGAATTTTCCTCCAGGCCAGATTGGCCAGGGATCTTTGAGGTTTTTTGCCTTTTGGGCATACAGCAGAGGCCACTGGGGAAATAAAGGTAGTTGTGAATCTCCTGTGTTATGCAGAGGGTTGGACTAGATGACCCTTAAGGTCCCTTTCAGCTCTATGTTTCTATGTTTTCTAAGCCTAGTGGCAGAAGCAAGGAGATGCTGACCACAGGCAAAAACCCATGGCTAGGCTCTTCTGTCCCGCAGGAGAGATCTACTCCACACAAAGAGCAGATCAGGTACTAAAACTGTATCTAACTACTATGCAGACTGCACAGGAAAGAACTATATGACTAAATGCTGTGTTGTTCATGGGGAATCATTTAACCACAGAAGTTACCTCTTCAGTCCCAATTTGTTCAGTCAGTATAAAAACAGCTTGACCATCTCATCTGTTGTTTGGTGGGATCCAGGCCCGAGTCTAACCTTAGAACCCCATGGATAACCTGTGCCTTCAGTATCTCAAATGACAGGATCACTTCAGTATCTCAAGTAATGAGCACTCTCAATGTGGTGCAGTGGTCAGTGTTGATCTGGGAGGCTCAAGTTTAAATCCCCATTCTGCCACAAAACCCTGTCCTCTAGCAGCTTAATCTACCTCACAGGATTGTTGTCACAGTAAAATGGCAGCGGGTAGAATGTTGCAAGCTACTGTGGCTCCCCATTGGGGAGGAAAGTGGGGGCACAAACAGGAGCTGTCCGAAGAATGCCATGTAAACGAACACTGATGCTTACAAATGCAAAATAGTATGGGCTGCTACTAGATTGAAGAAATTTGAATTAACAGTGTAAGTTTTAAACGATTAAAAGCAGTTAACTCTGCAGTTAAAAAAATCCTTAGTCTGAAAACAAGGTACAGAAGGATCATTCTCTTCTTTGTGGCAGCATCTGCCATATGCTGTTTTATAAGCACTTAAGTTAACTGTTAAAACTGAACTTTCTGTGCTGTACTGATAAAGTCAACACATATGAATATATGAAAAGTTTAGTCACAAAGTTGTAAAATGTTTGTTAAATCCACCTTGCCTGTTTGGCTGATTACTAGCTTGAAAATACAGCACACTATAAAAGTTTAAAATGCAGAATTAAGAGAGCTGTCAGAACCGTCCCTTCTCACGTGTTCTCAGCAACATTAGCTTAGCGAAGCGTCATTCATCCTAAAGGGATAACTTCCACTCTGCTACCTTCGACCTCCCCTCTTCCCCCTCTCCGTAGCTCTAACTACCACCTCTTCCTTCTCCTCCTCCAGGTAAGTGGAGGCAGCCGATTGGATGGAGCCGCCGTCCATTGTCGGCCTGTAGCCAATCAGAGTCGAGCTAACGGAGACTAAGTGTCCAATGGGCGTACGGCCTGACGCCCCTCGCCCGCCACGGACGGGGTGGTGGAGCCTGCGGAGTGCCATTCGGAGGGAGGGCGGCGGAGGAGCAGGAGGAGCAGTTGGGGGAAGCGACACCGCAGGTGCGGAAGCGTCCCATCGAGCGAGCCGCCAGGCAGAAGCGCCCCCTCCATCACCCCCTCGGCAGCTGGCGTCGTATGGACGATGTAAACGGCGAAGAGCTGAGCTGCCGGGGCGGGCAGCGATGGCCACAGCCCGGCGGTAACCGCAGCGCGGAACGGTCCGGAGCTCGCCGCGTTCGGCCCCGCTCGCCTTTTTGCCAGGGGGCGTGTGAGCGTCTGAGAGGGAAGCCGTCCTTGTTTCCTTCTCGCCCTCCAGCTGCCGCCGCCGCCGCCCGCCATGTCCAGCTCCTCCTCGCAGACCCCTCCTCACCACCAGCCCCCGCCGAGAATGCGCCGCGGCGCTACCGCGTCCCCCACCAGCGGCAGCGCCGGAGCCCCAGTCGGTAGTAACGGGGCCGGTGCGGTTGGCGGGGGAGGAGGAGGAAGCGGCGGCGGCGGCGGCGCCCCCGGTGGCAGCGCGGGGACTAGCCGGCTCCTCCAGCCCATCCGCGCTACCGTCCCTTTCCAGCTCCTGAGGGGCAACCAGCACAGCCCGACTCGCTCGCCCGCCGCCTCAGCCTCGGTCGGCAGCAACACGGGCCCAGGAGGGGCCCGAGGAGGGGGCGGCAACGGCGGCAGCCCGCCCCCGCCTAGCTTCACCCCGCCTCTGGCCCTGGGGGCCGCCGCCGCCTCCTCCTCTCCGGGAGCAGCAGGCGGTGCGACGGAGCCCGGGCGGGGGAAGGTGAGGCAGAGACACTCGCCCGACAGCAGCTGCAGCAGCAGTAACGGCAGGCGGAGGAGCACCTCACCTGAGAGAAGGAGCCCCACTTCGCCCATTTATCGAGGTAATAATGGCACGCGAGGGGCCGACCCCATAGCAGACGCGCGCTTTTCTCCCCCCCTCCCCGCCCCAGAAGGTCTGTGGAGACTTTGATCCACCCCGAGGGGGAGACGTTCAGTGGCTCCCGTGCTTGCCCCCTTCAGCTTGAGAAGACGAGGGTTAGATCCTGACACTACCGCATCCCTGATAAGAATAGGATACCAGGGGCTCCCCACAGCCCTCATAAGGATCTATCTTCTAGGAGAGTTGAAGTTTGCCGTAGGATGCATGACCAGTTCTCTGCATGCCTACTCAGAAGTAAGCACCGCAGTTCTGCTTAGTGCAGGACTGCAACCTTAATGTTTAGAAGATGCCCCTTTAGACCCTTCACCCGTTCTTCCGTAATATTTGCAGCCAGGGTGGCTGAAGAGGGGCTGCCAAAACTTCCCCATCATGCAGCCAATGTCTGTGGCTGGAGTGAGTGAGAATGTGGGGGAGAATGTTAATGAGTGAGAATGTGAGGGAGAGAAACTTAAATGAAGTATTGCAGAATACAAGTGTGTGATCCTGGGCATGTTGAAAGGTTATGCCTTATATTCTCCCAAAGATGCTAGGTCTTAGTGGTCCCCCCCTTACTAAATACTATCTTCGTTCCTGTATACATGTTTCTTTCTTTTTTTTTTGGTGTGATTTATGTCATGTCAGTTAAACTTTAGGACCTTCTTGAAAAGAAAGTCTTAAATGATGGATTCTTAAATCTTACGATGTATGCCCTTACAAACTCCAACATGCAGAGATAAAACGTGTTTTCCCAGCCCATAGGATGCTTCCCTGTAAATAACAACTTCAGATAACAAATGTCCCTGCACAATGGGAAGGGATAAAAAAAAGTTTAAACAAGGGCATACTGCCCAAGCACTGGTTCTAATACAAATGTTCTCAGTGTGGCTTAATACAAGCACAGCTACAGGTAATATTTATCAAACCTAAGATGCACAAACCATATTAGCATCTAGAGCACTGCTCCATAAAGCTTTCATAATACCCTCCTTAAATACAGCCACTCAGAGCTAAAATAAACCATTAAGACTGAGCAATATTTTTTGTTAAATTCTGTGACAATTATATCAGGAGGAACTAAAACATTCAGAATACCTCTTGAAAAAGGTAAAGCTCACAGGAACTGCATTTTAATTTTAGCTAATATCTTGCATTTTCTAAAGTGTCTGTGGCCATTTTAGTAGTTCACTCCCTCTAAACACACCACTTTATTTGCTGTAGCTTTCGGATATCTTGGATCTTTCAGTTCTTCTACTTCAGTTTTGCTAAGCTTCAGATGCAAATTGTATACTCCTTTTAACTTAGTATTAAAGACAATACCTACCTTTAAGTCCTTGCAGCTTTGGTTGAGCAGGTATGGTAACTAGAATAGTACAGAACTACTTATATTCCTCCAAAACACTGCTTCAACTGTGTCAAGCTGACAAATATTTACTGCAAAAAATAAATTTCTTCCTTACATTCAAAGTATGCAACAGGCCTGTGATAACTGATTTTTTTTAATTGACATCTTTCGTATAATGAAGTTTAATCCACATTTTTAGGCCTAGAAAATGATTTACTTTCTAGATGTTAATGTGTATCTGCCCATAACCCTGACTGTGTTGTTACAGTTAGGCAAAAAGTAGATTTTGCGCATTTGTTTTTAAATAAAGTATTCAGTTCAACATTCATACAAATTTTACTATAGTTTGCATGTCAAACCACCAACAAGGGGGATATTTATTTAGGGAAAATACAGTATAACTTCTTAGAACGTGTAACTTTCCCATCTAAAACATTTTAGAAGGATATTAACTCTTCAAAAAGATGAGATATCTTTTGTTGCCTTTCTGTATTATTTAACAGCTTAAGTTAAAACTGAATGACAGCACTAAATTGGTTCTATCTGCTTTAAGCTGTTGTAGCGATATTCAGAGCATAATGCGGTTATGAGATGCTAAAAAACTTTTTATAAATTGGCTGCCAAGAACTATAACCCCCTTGTCTGAGTCAAGCTAGTTTCATTAGAAAATGGACCTCACCCTGCAGATCTGGAACAAATTAAAATGAAATAATTGCTGTTTAGTAACTCCTTTTTTACAGAAATATTCACTCGACAACAAAATAACAGCATCATTTAATTGTGCAAGTAGGAAAAGTAAAACTTAGAAACCTGAGCTTTGTGCACCAGCTTTCACTTTAGCATGACCGATTCCATTCTGGCTTGATCTTGTATCAGTTGTGATAGGGTTTGTCCAATGTAGTAAAATTGAAAAGTCAGCCTATATTATGGAATATCTGCAGAGAACCTGGAGTGGCACTTTGAAAACTTTCTGTGTGAGGGACAACAAATCTGGCTTCACCTGCTAATTGCTTTAATAACTATTTGAGTGTGTGATTATTTTAACAGCTGCCAAAGGTGTGGTATTCATGTTTGTCATATTTCTGAACTTTTTGTATTTTAAGTCACACTTAATGTGCAATGTTGCTTTCTTTTTGCATTAGTATTTTTACTGCAGTGCATGGGTTTGACTGTACTAGTGAAGTGCGTTATTCAGTCTGTGCTGGAGACACTGTATGATTTGGACTGACTTTATTTTTCTAAAATGTTAGGTATATCTTACATCTTTTCTGAGCAGTCTCACTTCAACAGCTTTGGTAGTTAGAGAGCTGCCAGAGGGTCTTAAAAGAAATCTGCAGGATTGCTATGGATTTGAAGTGTCTACAGGTCCAGGCAGCTGCCACTGCAGACGCTGACATCACTACTGCATGAATGAAAACAGCTTCCTCAGAGTGTGTGGTTTTTCTCCCGTTATCCTTTTCCTCTCTGGCGTCTTAACGATACCCTAAAACGTTTGTTTTAAGATGAATACTTGCTCCGATTTCAAATGCCATCAAGCTGGGAGAGCTTTATGTTTTAAATTTATAGGGCAGCTCCCCCCCTCGAAATACTGCTACATCTTCCTGTATAAATCCAGTGTGTTTATGAAATTCATCCACCTTCATTTTAAAAAGCAGAAGCCACTGCATGTTCTGCTTTATGCATGAATATTTTGCAAGCAGATTTTTGAACATTCCAGGTTTTGATACTACAGTTCTGTCCTTTCCAACTTGCCGTATATATCTTTGAAGACAAATATACATGCCTTATTATTAATGAAAGCTTGGCTCTGAGAAATGGACATGTGAGTAAGCCCAGTACAGAAAGCTATATAACTTATGTATTGGTAATTTTGGTGCTACTGCATTAACATTCTATTTGACCAAATGTTGTTTCTTTTCATTGGGAGAAATGTAGGCAGCCCCTAATAGCATTGCACTTTCTTTGTAATAAAATATCTTGCATCTTGTAAGTTCGCATATCCATCCATATTTTTCTAGTTTTATACGAAGATGTCCAAATTTAGAAAACAAATTTGTAAAAATGTTTTATTCCTAAATCTCCTTGCTTTGTACTAAGACATAAGTTATACATTCATTATATAAAATAACATTAAAATGTAGTTATCTGCATATAATTGGGGATACTGCTACCTATCATTTATAATAGATGAAGATGCATTGTTTACCTACTAGCCTGTAATGGGCTATTGATAAGGAAATAACTCTTACAAAGGTTTCACCTAACAAGTGTGGTGGCTTCTAAGTATATTCTCTTAGACCTAGAATTTCTTCCCTCTTTCCTCCCCTCACTATTACTCATTGCCCCTCCCCATTGCCTCTCCCTCTTTCCTCCCCTTCCCATTGCTCATTGGGCATGCTACCTGGAATATGACTGGCATGATACATTTTCTTTAATGTGAAAAGCACTTGGCCAATGCAATAAATCATGACTGTGCAACGAAAACTTCGTTCTTATTGGCTCCCTAGTTACTCCCCCCCCCCCTTTTTGGTGAATCATGAGTGCCAGTTTTAGAGTACTCAAATTTAAGTAGCATAGACTTTTCTGTATCTCATTTCACATACGATAGTATCTGTGTGTTTACCCAGACTGAGTATAAAAATGTTGTGAAAGGAAATTTCTGGGATGTCCTTTGGGGATGCACTGTGTACTTTGCTGAAAACTAGTTCTTGTCCCTATGCAGTAAACAATGGTCTCAGAATAAGATTAGATGGGGTGGCTCCCACATAGGATTTCCACAGGCTGAAGAGATTTTCATTCATGGAACATGACTTTTTTTAAAAAAACCTCTCTCCTTCTGCAGCCCCAAATGTTGCTCCTGAAGGACTCCCAGAAACAGCATTGGGGTGTGGGGGCACTTGAAGGCCTGCACTAGGAGAGGGTAATTGGTGAAAAAAATCCCTCCACCTGTCTTTGGAAATCCACCGAGATATCCAAACTAAGATTATTCCTAGTTCAGTCTTGCAAATCCCCAAGTGCAACTAGGCTACAAAACTTTTGTTTCACTTTATGTCTGCAGTCTAGATAAGTTTGGTCTTTGATGGGTGCTGGACAACTGCAGCCTGAAAGGGTCGGGTGGGGAAGCCCCATGATATATGCAGCAATTTGGTTCTCAGGCAAAGTTAGTAATTTGTGGCATAGTGATTTTTTTGAGAAGTGGAGGGCAGAAACTTATTTGCTTTCTAAAATTGTTGCTGCTTGGTTATTAAGACGTGCTTTTTCCTCTTGACTTAGTTAACTGGGACAGAAGGTTGTTTTAGCCACTGGTATGCAACTCAGTTATCCCTAAACACTGCTGTAGAAACATGTTGTCATCGTGCACACAAATCTTCTTACGCTACTATCAGGATTAGAACTTAAGAAGGCATGAGTGATCCCAAAGTCTAATGGCACACTTTGTGATAGTTGCAACTTATAACCTCACCCATTTAATTTAACATAATGAAGAGTTAAAATAGCTTTTGTAGAATATGTAAAATCAAATGTTTTAACGTTATGTTCTTAAGCTGTAGACTTTCATCCACTCATGATATTTGTAAACAAGACTCTTGTTGAATTCCATAGATGTGCTACACTCAAGT